TCTTGACGCGTGACACTCACGTAATACCTCGTAAAAGAGGGAAGAATTATGAAAGAATGAAGAAGAAGAGTCTTAGAGAGAGAGAGAAAGAAGAAGTCCATTGATCGTGTGCCATTATACGACTCTGATATATTTTTCTTGGTCTCCCAGATAGTTGAAATTTAAAAAAATAACTTTGAATCTTTTCTTTTTGATATAGCAACACGATTAACAAAAAGGATTCCATTATTCGATCATTACTTTAGAGTGAAATCCATTAATTTATCATAAGAATATAAAAAATGAAATATAAAGAGAAAATATATTTAAAAAAAGATAATATAATGGGCAGCGAGCCAAAAATAAAATTATTACAATAATAAAAGAAAACAAAGAAAATATATTTAAATTAACAATACCAGACATTTCGACATCGATCGAGTCATTCTCAATGTTGGCAAAATATTGTTCTAAATATAAAAATCTAAACGGAAATTTACATGAATTATCTGTTTAGTTTAAAAAATGAATTTTCGTTATCGAGAAAAGATATTTTTTGCAGTCGATTTTATAATACAACACGTTGGAAATTTAGCGGAGACTTCTTCCCGTCAACAAATCGATAAAGCTTAGAAGAATCAATTTAATGATGCATGCCTCGTGCTGTATGCGTAAGCAATAATATATGTCAATCCATTCGTTGCCTGCTGGGAATAGCAACAAGTAGCTGCGTATCATAAACTGAAAATAGTGCTGCACATGGAACTGCATAGACAATGCGTTGGCTTGACGCACACGCTTGTACACGCAGTTCCACAAATTGTTATTACATACAAGAATACGTTGTTTACTGTGTATTATGTGCCGCGGCTTATTTTAGCCAGGCAAATGTGCGTTTCTGGTGTTGAGATAAGGTATATGAAACGTTAACTCCCCGGCTTTACTTGTAACGGAAATACTTGGGTAGGAATTAGCGCGTACGGGCGCAACTGTATATACACGCAGACGAGAAGATTATGCTAATTCGTGGCAGTGATTTGCCAGCATGCGGTGACGTTTGAATTTGCGGACGACTAAATGCAACTTGGAGAAACAAAAATTCAAATAACGTCGGATCAAAGTTTCATCGCGATAAATAACCTAACGTAGAGTCAATAATTTAATTCAATGACTTAATTTCCATCTTCATTACTTATTTGATGACAGAAATATCGTTTTTTATATACATAGAACCTGTCTTGCGATAAATTTGTGTAAAGTGTGACTACTTAATTTTTCTTTATTTTAAATTAACGATAAGTAATAAATGATAAATATATGTGATATTATAATTGAGCAATTCGCAAATTGAAGGAAAACGATGGCTTCTCTCTCACATAAACAAACTTGTGTTGTCACGAACTTTAGTCAATAAAAAGTTATACAATTAATTTAAAACTTATTTTTTATGTGCTACAATACATCAACATTAAGAACATATGCTAGCCTTTTAACTACCTTTAAAGTTAGTTGAAGAAAATTTGTTGGAACATAAAAACCTTGAGAACTATGAAAAAAATATAAAAATTTGAAAACAAAAATAAAAAAGACTAAAATTCGTCTAGCAGTAAAGTTTATTAAGATGAATTCCTCTTTATATATCTTAACGACTGTCGATTGCATTTTGTTATAAGAATATAAGAAGCACGTGATACGATTGATGATTTGGTTGCGATCATGCGTGAATGATATACTGATCCGGTATGACATTCGTTAAAGTTTGAAGAAAAATGATCGAGAGTACAGAGACGAAACGACGACTATAGCGACGCAAATATTATCTATATTAAGCCATTTAGTCGTATAATTCTTGATACAATATATTATATTTTTTACGGTATGTTTTTCAAGTTTGTCTTTGACAACAAATAAAAACGTCTACTGTCTGTTATTAATTAAAAGGTGATTAATGCCTGTTTTTTTTTTATTTACGCGACGCTCTGTTCAGATTTAGATTTCTACGGATTCAAATCTTCCGTTCTTCCGATACATTCTCTAAAACACAAACATCCTATCAATCTTCTTCTTGCAACTCGTATTCAACGGGTCTTGGCCATGGCATTAGATCAGCGATGACATCACAAGTAAGACAACAATGACATAAGAGCCGCAACAATGAAGATGTGCATTAATCGTCAAGGTCTATTTAATGGAAAATGTATGCGTTTCCGATCGATGTAGTTATAAAGATATCAGAATATTGAAATAAATCTTTTCAAAGACACAAATTAATCAGGTAAAAAAATAAGATAAAAAAAAATAAACTAAACTCTAAAAGAGAAAAAAGAGATATAAGAATGTATCAATATCATATGTAGAATTGATTTAATTTCTTTTACATTCATCTCGCGTACCTCACGTCTTGTTGTGTCTCAGATATCGCAGGGCGGTGACCTGAACAATGAATTCTAGAATAACAAATAAGATTTCACTTATGATATCGCACATCAAGGTCTGTTACTCCGATTTTAAGGCCACGGCAGAAAAAATTGTTTGCGGATCTTATCGCGTGGATGGACGATGATATAGAAGAATATTGCACGTATCAATATCATATTGATATTTTTAGTCGATTGTCACGATCGTTCGCGGCCGGATTAGCACGATTACTGGCAGAAAGTGTTTCAAAAGTGGTAAAAATACATGGTCGCAAATCAGTTTCTCATTTTTTCATTATAGCTATATCTACATGGATGACGTGGCACATAAGATAATGCAAGTGTAAGGTAATATACGTATAGATCAATTATTACGGTGATTTCTTCCAAGGAAAACTGACGCACCGGATTTTCAGTTTATGGAGTTCCTGCAGTATCTATCATTTCATGAAAAATAAATTTTTTTCATTATCGCGATTGAATGATCTTCTTATCACCGGGAACATCATATGATTCTAATTAATCATTATTTCTCCAATGCATTACGTTTTATCGTTAAAACATGTGCCAAATCTTATTTAGAAACTATAATACATATCTATAATTTACGTACATTTTCATTGTTCATTTTCAACGAAACAAATATTGCACAACTTCTCTCGGAAAATGCAACATTACTATCAACTAATGACTTTGTTTTATTACGTTAGTAAGAATTTAGAATTCTTATTATTTTTGTACTGAAGCAGCATGTACGAAACTTTTGTTAAAGTTGTTATATAATTACCGCGTAAATTTCTAAATATCTTTCCACTATTTCAGATGTTCGCAAAAGAGAAAAAGGCAAATATTTATAGTTCCGCTAATAAAATTATAAGTATTATATTTGTTATCTTTCGTATACGAACTCCGTATAAGTATAGCCGTAAACTGAAAACGTGACTTGTGAATTATTCTTGATGATAATTAAAGGAAAAGGGCTACGAGCCAAAAATTGGTTAAAATATAAAATTGTTATAGTAAATAAAAATTGTCATTTAGTTAAAATAGTTTAATTAGACAACAAACGTTTCGACCTCTATTAGGTCATTATGAATGTTACAAAAGATCGCAAGTTGTTAACAACTGTTAATAGAAGTCGAAACGTTTGTTAACAACTTGCGATCTTTTGTATAACATTAATAACTGTTAATAGAGGTCGAAACGTTTGTTGTCTAATTAAACTATGTATTTTTAACTAAATGACAATTTTTATTTACTAACAATTTCATCTTAACGAATTTTTAGCTCGTAGCCCTTTTCCATTAATTATTTTTATTCTTCATGAATATTTTTTCAATCTTATGGTGATACTATAAAAAATATGACGATATCTATCACGCAGCTTCTCGAAGAGCAAGTGCATTTATGAATGTGTGAGAGCAGGCTTATAGAAACGTCGGTAAGCTGGAGAAAGAGGATTTAGGATGACGTTCGCACGTTCGATGCTTTAAAAGATCGAACCACGTCTCCACGTTCCCTTGAAAATCTGACGTCCAGTTCGGCGGGATCAGCGAGCGCGAAAGCATGTAGCAACCGTATTGTGTGAAGTGACGAGAAGACTTCGAATCATTTCATCGATTTTTGATTATTAAATGACCTTAACAAACTGGCAGTGTTAATATTTTCGTAGCGTGACTGAGAGATTGTGCGACTTTTTGTGATACAATCAGAAATTGTCAATCTAGTCCTTTTTCATCATTTGACGATCTACATGCCAATTATCACTTGGCGACTATCAACGAGAGATCTACTAAGTGAACATCCCTACGCCATTCGTATATATTTGAACTTACATGTGGCCTTCAACAGACCACTCCTTACTTTGCACGTTTTACATTTCAAAAAAGAAGAAAAATAAACGCTGCACTTTAAGAATCTAGATAAATGAAAGATACTACATCAAAATTTATGAAAACTGAGATTCAATTCGAAAATGAACAACTTAAAATTATGTTAACGTTATCTATTTAAATAAATGCTGCGTTAACCGGAATATATTAATCAACGAAGGTGTATGAGTAATGCTAATTGTAATCACAATGACGAATTACACAGTCACGATGAAGAATTACAAGCGCCGTGACAGCTATCGTCCTACAGAAGGCTGGAGAAGGATGGAAGAAGAGACGAGCGGGACCACGTTGTACTTCACATCGAGAGGCGAGGATTTCAAGCTCTCTTTAGCGGCGCGCACCAGAGAGCGAGCAGGAACGGGCCGTCCCACGACGAAGCGCGTCCGTGGTGGGGTGTCAGCCGTGGCTTATCTGGCGACTTTATGTATATTACGATACCCGAGGCAGGAACACGAGCAGTTCACTGCTGGCTAACTGGTCGGAGAAGTCGGCGTAGCCGAGTCGTCCGCGCGGCGTGTCTTGTGCACGAGAGAAAGAGAGTGGAAAAACGTGTTTGAACTAGAAGCCCTCTTTCTCTTCCTTTCTTTCTTTTCTTTATTTCTTCCATGTTTGTCGTGTGTGTGCAATAAACATCACGTGTACCGCGCTCACGTCTGCGAAAACAACCGCGTGAACATCAACGTGGTGCACAGATCAGTCGAGCAGCCAATTGAACGGAACGTCTTGGTGCTGCTCCACGATCATTTTCATCACCAGAATGATCGTTCTTGCGTGGTGCCTCTTTGTTATCGTTTCGTTCCTTGTGGCGAGCAACCAGGCCTTCCTCAGCGCGCCCTTACCAGGTATGCGTTTTGACGAAGTTTTATGACTCATTTATCTCATAATAATGTATCTCGGAATCGACGGAACGAACACGGGATCCTATGATTCATTGTATAAGTTTTTCTCGCCGGAAGTTACGATGCTTTCAGTGAATTTATGCATTAATGATAATTGTAATTGTGATGGAATGAATATATTCCATTTTTTTTTTTGGTATTCTAATATATCCATCAAAAAGACGTATAAGTATATTTGCAAAATCGTCGGTTACTTTTGGTAATAGCTTGTTTCGAGTGTCGACACCTGCAGCAGAAGTACTACGTGAATTGCCTATCGATCGCGTGATCGTATTTAATTAAATTGTTAAAACCCGCAAATGACTTCAAGCAGCACTACGTACTTCGCTTGAAATTAATCGTAAACATAATTTAAATATTTTTCTTAGATTTTCAAGAAAGAATACGAGGAAACAGCGCTCTAACAAGATCACGTTAATCATGACTGTCTCAAAAAAGTGATAATACAAGATGACAAAAGTATTTTTTATTAAAAAAATATTCGATTAATTTCTATATAAGTTTCTAAATTAAAATATAATATGTACATAAATATAGATAAAATTCTGTTAATTCAAAAAATTATATAGATAATAAAATATTTTTCTATGAAAAAATATTTTTATTATCTAATATTATCCTATAATATATGTATATATACATATATAATAAAAAAATTAATGTAAATATCTATATTTAAAGCGTCTTTTAATTTTAAATTTAAATTTTACCTGTTTTTTTTATTCTTGGACTATTTATGTACTTCACGTCAATACGCGAATAAATATTGCGTCAGATATTTTATTGGATCTAATACTCATAGGTCATGGACCTTACTTAAACTATTTAGGATTAAATCTGGTGTCATTTCCGTTTCGAAACGCTTCGAATATTGCACTTGGATTACTGAGTGTATAAACTATAACTATATTATTGGAGCACGAAGAAGAAACATGATGCCTACAACCCAAAGTAATTCATGTACACCAAAATGAAAGATAACAGAAAAAAGTAAAGATATAGTAGGAGATTTTATCAATACGCTTGAAGAAGTCTGGTTCGTTGGACCGCGTTTCAATCGATCCAACTCCGAATATAGATATAACATTATATTATTCAAAGCACGACGCAATCGATACGATTATGAGATTTCAGTAATTCAATTAAATCCTTCAGTTTGCAACCTTCCACTATTAATTAACCTAAGTCTAATCCGTCTCATGTCGGACCTTAATTTCTCATAACCAATTAGCGCATATCTTAAGCAAGTATTAATGCATATATTAGCCAAGTTCCTTCCATCAAGGAGGACGAAAGATTTTCCAAGAATTATGTCAAATCACTCTTGATATTACTCGTACTGACGTGAACTACACAATAACCTAAGAATAGAACATCAAATAAAATTAAAATTTAAAATTAAGCAACACGTTTTAAGATTCATATTTTAACATTTTTTATATACATATAATTTTAATATCAATATATAATATCTTGTCACATATAAAATTATAATATAATATCTAAATAATTTTATAATTAAATTTAAATATTTTTACAATTTCAATAATATATAATAACATAAATTATTATATCAAAATTTAATTGTAAAAATATTTAAATTTAATTCTAAAACTATTAAGATACTATATTATAATATAATGTGTATGTGTAAGAATAAACGTATAAATATACTTTTTTCAATCTGTGAAACTTTATACAAGTAAATATTTTACTTGATTTTAGTTTTCGAGGTCTCTCTTTAAAATCATTAAATTACTCATTACACGGGGCTTTATATAAATTACACTATAGATGAATTTCTGGAGAAAGGAATACGCATACATAATGCTTTTTCCATAAATTTCAATTAGCTCAATTCAATTTATGCGGTTTTTTTCTTTCTCGCGTGACGTTCTTATCAAAATAGCTTGTATCGAATTCACATTCGAAGGTCGCACAAACGCGATAGGAAAATCACTAATCGCACAGGCGGTTCTCGAAAGAACTCGTATCGCGAAGCTCGCGGTTAAAACCGTGATTGCACCGTGTGTGTTCTGTCGCGCGTACATTTTGTATACTGCCGTTGTGTGAATGACAGATTTATCTCGCACGCGTTCTCGCAGTCGACGAGAATTTCGCTCGAACTGTTTGCCTGCCGGAGTCAGACGGGCTTGATCCGCTTCCAGTATACGAAAGTTCGATCGGCACCAAAGTTCCGATCATTCTCCCGTAACTTCTGTCCCCCCTCCCTCTCTCTCTCTCTCTCTCCCTCCCTCCCGTGCATTTTCAAACGAGAAATATCTTGGATACTCTATAGCTGTGTTATAAAGCAGCTAGACCAGACACGTAACCCTAATAACTACCTCGCTTCGTGTTTTTATCTGACTAATATATCGATAATCAAGAATGATCTCACGTGACTAAAAGTATCACATTCGATAGCGTTATAACTGCAATGTGAGCATTATTAGATTAAAACAAATCCGACTAAGAATTATTGCCTAAATAAGATGTTCCAGAGTGATACCCTGGAATAAATATAAAATGAACTATTCTTTTAATATTCATCTCGTGATCTCATTCGGTGGCCAACATTTTCTTCACGGAAATTTAGATTTCGCGTGAAATGTCGAGAAACCGCGCGCGGAGATTGTAATAAAACGTTATTTTATTAACGAGAATACGTCGTAATAATTCAATAGCGTCTGCACAATATCAACTTTTTTCGATACCTCACTCTTGAATAATCGAGATTCTAAGTACCTATTCGGAGAATGTGATCGTTTCTACCGTGACACAATTTGTGTAAAAAGATTGATCGCAGCAGAATTTCTCAAACGTTTTTATTGCTACAGATTATTTTATATTATTAATAACATTAAAAGAATTAGCAGCGTATCTCTTAATATGCGATAATATTAGTAAGTATCGACATAGACAATCGTAATAAATTATGACGAAAATATTACATATTGCCATTAATTGTGTTATATATGTAGGAAAAGGTCAACTTGAAACTTTCTAATATATAAATTGTAAACATATTTGAATCATGCTGAATGTCTTTCAAATTTTTATCCAACCGCTCGAATAGCCGTCTAGACGCCCAGTTAACAGATATACGAGCGTACAATTGCACACATAGTACTCACGTTACTAAATATAGTACAAAAGCGACCAGGAAACCGTTATATCTATCTCTAGCCTCGAATACATCCTGTAGATCCTTCATGGCTTCATACAATTACGATGAAACTTCCTACATTTAAATAGATTTAAGGACACAAATTTTCTTCTCACTACTTTGTTCCGAAGAAAAAATTAACCTAAACTTAAAAGAAAATTTATTATTAAAGTTAACATCGCGATAATATGATCGTAGATTAAAAACGGAATACTGGAAAAAAAAAGTCTAGTTGTATTAATTGGAATTACAAAAATAGATAAATAAAAAAAACTTTCTGCGAACGTATATTAAATTCTAGTTGAAATAACCAGAATTCTTATTGATATAATCAGAATCTTCTAGTTCGTTCATTTTTAATCAGAAATTGTTCCTTCTTCGTAACTGGATATTTTTATCATTTGACATTGATAAGCAACTATTGTAAATGCTGGAATTTATCTTGACGTATACATTACAAATGTCGTGCTGTTTGGAGAGTTAGATTTCAATATTGCGATTTATATACAATATCTGCCTAGATGATGTCATATGAGGTCTTACACATACTTGATTTTGGAATATTATACTTCAATAAAGCACTCTACTTTAAAACTATATCTAGACAAGAGCTGACTGGAAGAGAAGATAAAAAAAAGTAAAGTCCAGCATTTTCTCCTGAAAAAATGACGGTACTCGTCGACACGTCTTCGCTGACAATGCTCTTAGTACCCTCTTAAACCTGCCTAACAATACTCTCGATAATAATACACGGTGATCACGGAACTTGAAGCGACGCCAAGAAGACTCGCCGGACTTGGTCACAAAAGTACAGTTGTCGAGTACGAAAACTTCCTGGGCGGGTAAAGTTCCGGATAATTTCGCAATTCTTCGGATATAATTGTACTCTTCAAGTACAATTAGGCGCGTTTCTACGTCTATTTCGGAAAACTACCGCGATTGAGTCATTAAGTAGAATCACGAAGCAGCACTCAGCGTAACATTTTATTGGTTACACTACTGTGAAAACTTTTCTGTCAGTGAGTGCAATAAAAGGTTCGCCCTTTCAAAAACTTAACTTTGTTCTTATCAGTGGTACACGTGAAATAAAATAACAAAGTTCTCTATATCCAAATATACTTCTGTATATTGTGATTTAATTAAGTCTAATGTAAAAATACTATAGATGACAATACCACACTGGAAAGGGAATTCCTTTTATAAATATCGATATATCGCAGCGATAACAAAAATACATCTACTTTATTGATCGCATCTTAAGAGGCATTAAATTTGGAACAACGTCGTTAATAATTACTCAATATCAATCGATACACTTGTATACATATCGGTCATTTTATCGGGCCTCGATTTTTAGTTAGACTCAGCCTCTTAACAAGACAAAGACATGTGAAGTATTCAGACATGAAGCAGGAACGTGAGTTAGTGCGGGCGAGAAGGGCAAGTAGAAGCTGAGAGACTGTAAAAAACTAACTTGAACGCGAACGATACTCCCGAAGGCCGTAAGAGAGGCTCCCGATCGAAGGTCGCACACTCTGCAAAGAAACCGAAGGGAAATCCAAATCTCGTGTTATATACGTTGGCATGATTTCGTGAGCATGATCGGTTTGTTTTTCACCGACGTATCTCGATGATTACGTCACTTGTTTACACCATCACGTACTGTTGATTTGATTACCTATTAGGAAACAATTACGCATAGCACCTGCACACGCGGCCTTATTTTTCGCTTATTTTCTCTTGCCTTTTTACACTCTTTTTGCGCGAACGTACATTG